TATGCCAATCATCACACTAACGCCTTCACTCTTACTTTATCCTTAACAGAAGGACGAGCGGGCATTGCCTGGGGACCTTCTAGCTATAAGATGCTCTTTCTCCCCCCCAGATATCGAAGTGTCTCTCACTTCTCCCCCACCAATTTCCTCTTTCTCTCTCTCTCTCTCTCTTTCTCTCTCTCTGGCTTGAGGCTTAATATCACATACTTTCATCTCCAATTTGAATTTCATTGTTTCCTGGCAAAGACAATTCCGTGTTCCCGAGTATTGGCATGACCAATACAGGGGCAGACAATTTTTAAACGGAGTAGCAGTGACTAAGAGCTGAGTAACGCAACAGCGGATGTCCGTTCGGGTTTGTGGCCTCTGGACGGGATGTTCCGAGTTGGCGACCGGCCACAAGACAAGATAACTACTGCAGGTTTCTTCAGATCCGGCTACAAATATTTCAGTTTAAGGATGATTAATTAATAACTACAATTAAAATGGTCTGTGTTGAAAAACTTAAATTCCCTCAGATGCTCCTGTCCTAAGACATTTGAATCCATTCCGTGTTCTGTAATCATTTCTATGTGTTTTCGAATTTTATATCCGTTCTTCCATGGAGACCTGCCATTAAAACGTTCGTGTTTCCTTTTGTAAGCTGAAAATTGTTGTTATTTGGAACAGGACAATTATTAAAGCCAGGTAATTTATTTAGCAGGCAACTATCAGCTTAGCAGGGACTCGACTCCACATACGCGACGTAAGATTATCGCTCCCGGTGGGTCACGCAACACATTTTGATAAACTTTGTCTAATCAGTGGATGGGATAATTGAATTCCTAATGAGCAAATTATGATAATATTTTTTTTTATTATTATTATTTTTCGTTTAATTGAAAATGCGTTTTATGACAGACGTGTTTTATATCCTACAGCTGTGTGATTTTAGGTTTCAATTAATTAATTAGTCAGTTAATTAATCACTCCCACTCTCACGGTTTTTGCCCTGTTTCGGACTAATGTCATGGAAGGATATAAATTACTGCTCGTTTGATTTTTGGTTTTGCGTCCCGTTTTATTTTATCGGAGGTAATTGAATCGCGGTGTTTCATTTAAATATGAATCATATGGAAGAATGGGTCCATGGCGCTGACCTGATAATTCTCACCTGAAATACGTTTCCAAATTACAAATTGCACCGATACCCGCTGATTTTTAAATCAGATCGTAACCTTTACCACTGACTTTAAGCAGAATCAAAATTAGGTCAGTGTTCACAGTCCTTATGGCGTCTTATCGCACTCAGAGACTTGTCGATGAATCGGCTACACGCGTGGCAGGGGCGATGCGTCCTTATGGTTTCTGGGGGACTATGACCACCGATCACATAAGTGTAACAGCGTATTTCCAACGCTGAGTCTGGTTTGCCCACCGTTACCACTGGATGTGACCTGCATGTCAACTTTGTTGAGCTACTCAAGAGTTTTGAAGCGGCTGGCAAATTTGTGACAGAGATTAGTCAACGTCTCAACTGTTCATATATATAGTACTCGTGCGGGTCGGCTGGCCGTTTCTGTGGGGAATTGTTGCCATGGAAACGCTCGGGAAAGGGACGTAGCAGGAGAAGGGCAGGAGCTCAGGAACGGATGTGAAGTAAGACGAGACAGAACGAATGGAGAAGAAAAAAATAAGCCTGTCTCTTCTTATTTTAATGGAGAAATGAAATAAAAAAAATTGTTAAAACGGAAAAGAGTTCATTTGTAATTTTAAAGAAAGAAAGGAAGAAAGAAAGAAAAACAAGGCATGGAACTTTTTAAAGCATTAAATTGGGTTTTTACGAGGTGGGCTGTTATTAATGTTATTCAGTTGAAGCTGAGTTTGTTTCATGAGAGTTACGTTGTGAAGACAAGCTTACTTGCTTTGCTCAGTAAAACTAAAGTGTTTTCAGAGTCTTAGCCACAGACCGAGATGTGTAGAAGTGAAATTATTTTTATTTCTCTCGTTGAAACGCCATCTGTAGGCTGACCACTAAGTGAAACTGCATTTGCTAGGCGCCACATATCCTCCAGGAAATGGTCCAGTGATACCAGTAAAATAGGTGATTAACCTCACGAAACAAGATTCCTTCTTGAAAAGTAGTTCAGATGGTACATTCATCACCGTTGTGACAACAGCGCTTCATCGGTCCGTTTCCTGACCTAGGTGACTTCACTCTAAACCCTGATACCGTTTAACTGAAATTCATTTTAATATTATCCTCCAGTCGTTTAGATGTTCTGAATCGTATCTTCCCTTCAGGATTTCCATCCAAAATGTTGTACGCATTTCTTATCTTCTCCTTACTTGCTACGTGCCCCATCCGTGACATCTTCCGTGGTTTTATCATCATTCTGGGTGTAATTTGCAGATCCCTATTATCTCTAGTCTGCTCTCATTTCATTATTCTTTGGGTCCAGATATTTTACTAAGCACCCTGTTCCCAAACGTTCTCACCCTACGTTCCTCCCTTGGTGTCAGAGACCAAGGTTTACACCCATACAAAACTACAGGCAAAATTATAGTTTTGAATCTGACCAAATCACACGTTTGTCGTTGTGGACACACAAAGTGATTTTAATAAGGTGCTTGTAGGTAATGTGGCCCTGAGCAGCGTTGCATGAGGCTTGTGATTAAATTGACAACAAAATAACTGTCTCTTATTTTTATCATCACACTTAACAGGGGTTAAGTATGTAAGACTTGAGGTTCTCACAGCGCAATAACCCAGAAGACAGAAATCTTCAGGGGTTAAGTAATCCTCGACAGCTTATCAGTCAAAACATTTATTGTAACAGGCTCCACTATTGTGTTAATAGCGTCTTGTATTTTGTTCTAACGAAATTAGAACGAGGCTTCACACAACATTTGGGCGGGATTTGTAGCTCGTACGCTTTACGTTCAAACTTTCGCTTGTAGTAAGTCTCAAGACTGATGTTTTTTATACGGTCTTTCATTCCTTTTTCTATCCCCCAAAGTGACTTGGAACAGCAATTTAAAAGCCTTTAACTTTTAATGAATTGACTCCTGAATTAATGACACTTTAATGATCCTAATTAGCGAGCTACACAAATTTGTGTTTTTGATACACGCTGGCAGACATTGTTTCACATATTCGTACCAGATCTTGCCTTCATTTGTGTCTTTTGTGGAACAATAGTATTAAGATGGCCGGCTTCTAGCCCTCCTACTAATTACCAGCGATCCGACTGCATTGTTTTCCTGTCTACGCCATGATATGATTACTCATTACAAAGACTCACAAAACACATTTTCTCGATTGTGTTCTTGGATTAACCTTTGTGTATATTTTATACTGTACTAAACAATAGGTACAAGAATGTTTAATTAGTACTCACGTTGTTAAGGTATCTTAATGTGTACGAAATGAACACGGCCAAAAGCTGCTTAGAAACAAAACTCAAAGTATGTGTGTTCTTTTGTTACCTGTTGTTTGTATTTCGCGTAAAAGGACATGGAACGTAAACGTTGCGACATGTGGGGAGTCTCAGGTCACGTAAGTCTGGTGCAGTCGTGGTATTTCAGGGTTAGAATTAATCCGGCAAACATTAATAGTAACAGTTGACGTGCAATTTTAATCGGCGTTCAAAATATGTAATACGTATTATCTTTGGCATTGGGTTGGGAATGCTCTTACGTCATCTGCGCTTGTAATATTGAACCTGACATCAGAATTGTGTCCATTACTCAGCACTGTTGAGCCTAAGAATTGTACGCATTTTAAAATAGGTGTTTAAAAACATAAAAATTTAAATAAATATTATATTTTGACACTATAAGCCCTTAAGTTAACTGTCTTGGGATATCCCTTGGGGGAACTCTCGGGGCAGATCCCCTGTGAACATGAGCAAACACAATACAGAGCCAGCAAGTGCTAATTGCATCAGGTCCCATTACATTAGCGAGCTTACGTTTGGTTTCGGACTACCCACCCTCTGGTCTGAATCCACTATCCGGAGTTTAGCGTTTGTCTGTCGAAGGGGGGTGGAGGGGGTAAACGAGAGCGATACCTAGTGACTGCAATGCCAATTATCGATACTGCGTGTAAATTTACAGTCGACACGTCCATGGCTAATCGATTACAGTCTATATACTATGCAACTAATCGATAATAGTCGCTAATAGAGCCTTCAAACGAATGGTTGCGGGATGTACAGAACCAAACATAGCCCATTAAATATCAATGATGCAAAATACCGGAAATGGTATGTGGGGGGGGGAAGGGGGGGGAGAGCGGGCATTTGTTTGCGCATGAAGCAAATTTTCGTACTGATGTGGGGTGAGAGGATGGACAAACGATATTTCCGTGACGAACGAAAAATGAATTTTCCCCGACAGGAGCTTCGCCGCTAATAAATTATGGCCCGGTTGAAATCGAACACGGGACTCTTTGGACACTGAATCTCAGGTGGTAAGCGTACAGTTCTAATTATCGTAACTAATTAACGAACAGTGAGAATGTATGCCTGTGCTGACAATCACATGATGTCGGAATTGGAACAAACTACCGAAACGTCGTACTATATATACTAAGTATACATCTGACACAATTTTATTGTGAATATGTCTTTTTTCTGTTTTGATGTTTAGCTCTGCGTCATAACTTGTACCATTTAATAAGCATACTTATTGTTAGAGCAAAGAAATCGAGGCTGCTGAGATGGACAGGACATGTAACACGTATAGAGGAGATGAGGAATAGACAACATTTTATTCGGTAATCCTGAAGAGAGATCTGGCGTAAATTTGAGGATAATGTAGTAGTGAAATCAAAATAAATAGGATTTTAAGGTGTGGGATTGGGTTGAGCTGGCTCGGGATAATTTCCAGTGCCGCGCTGACTTGAAGATGGCAACGGACGTTGGGAGTTCCTTAAGATTTTAGGCATAGTTTGACTTATCTATCAGCTTGTTAAGAAAGAAGTTCCTTAATCGAAGCAATTGGTCTTTTGTTCGCAGACGGCACGCCTGCAAGCAAGCCTCCCGCGAAACGCAAGAAGGAACCCGGGAACCCAAAGGCGCAGAATACGACTTCTCCAAGCACTGTGTTGGAGACGCAGAGCGGGGCTCTGAGCGACGGCGGCCATGGTTCGGACGGCGAGCGCAAACGGAAAAAGGCGCGCACCACGTTCACCGGTCGTCAGATATTCGAGCTGGAGAAGCAGTTTGAGCTGAAGAAGTACCTGTCGTCGTCGGAGCGCGCCGAGATGGCAAAACTTCTCAACGTCACCGAGACGCAGGTAAGCGGCCTCAACACCCGTTGGATATTAAGACGGATGTCGTGTCCGACACTTCGGAGGTCGTTGTTGCTTCCTTCTTCAGGACGCGGGGAGCGACAGGTAGTAGGAGTTTGGCAGTTTTTCCCCCCGTGATCCGCTGTTACGTAATCTTCAGTTGTTTGTGATCAAAATTTTTCAACGCGAGAAATTATATTTACCCTTTTTCAACGATGAATAAATTTTTAGGTAATTTTTTATGTTAAAAATCTTTTGTACGAAGCGCCATTTTGGCGAAACAGGATCTATAATTTATAAGCGGAACTGAATATATTATAATATTATATGTGACATATTAGTGGTGTGAGGGGATTGCGTATTTATATAATTATCGCTAAATCGGATGACAATGAAACTCTTGGTCACTTTGCAACCGTCAGCTTCACAACATTTCCGAAGGCTGGGTGGTCCATATAGAATTTCTGCGCGTTGATAGTAACTTAAGTGGTTCTTAGAGATTCCTTAATCGCTGCCTCCTGTGATGCGGGCGGCCTACCCATTCTCCCACGTAACAACAACACTTCACCGACCGACCACGTGAAGGCGTGCATCTCCGCATCGCAGCGTGGGTTTTCTTGGCTTGCTTCGTGAACAAAGGCAGCCCCTTATAGAGACAGAATATCTTCTCCTCCCCTCCGCCCACCCTCCTAACGACTCACCAGACAGTGCTCAGTACCACTTCCTCTCTGACCCCGTGCACCCTTCGCCCTCAGCCGCTAATGGGCTCCAAAAACTTTTTAAAGGTTAGGTTAGGCAAGAAGCAGTGGGAGGAGGCGTTGGGGTTACATCCAGCGAAGTCACGGACTGTTGTAAGCGAGTGTGGTACAGGCGCGGCCAAAGTGTATGCATCACTGTAATTGGATAACTCTAGACCCCCGTATTTTTATCTCAGAGGTGAACGCATCAGTTGTACAAAGGACAATTAAATCGTGAACAATAGCATTAGTTGGCTTCGGATCGAGGTGGGCGTGGCTGCTTGTTTTTGTTGTTGTAGGTTGTGGATTTTTTTTAGGGTCTTGGAGAAATGTTCATTGCTGTATTAAGGCTGCTGCTACAATGTTGTTAATAAGCATCTTATGTTAAGATGTGGACCTGCCCTGCTGACGAGGGTTCTTTGTGGCGAGATTTCAGGTTATCGCAGCGGAAAATGCTCCCCTAAGCACCCTGTTCTGAAACACCCTCAATCTGTGCTGTTTCAGACCGTAGTGTTAAAACACACGTGGCATCGTGACGCTGTCCGAATGTACCATGTGTTGTGCCCAAGTTGAATTGTAATTTTCAGATATCTGTAGAAGTATTGAAAGAATAGCCTTTATCTGTAAAGCAGAATTCACACCGAAACAACAAGCCACAAGCGATAGAACCTGTAAGATAGTGATATCGCTTTTAAAATTATCGCGCTTTGACCAAGGATAAGTGTCGAAAGAAACTTTTGTCGCCGGTTGTGACATCCAGACAGCGGAAGATGGTAGAATTAAGAAGATGATCAACAGATGGCGTGCGTCGCAGGGGGGAGGGGATGGGAGACTGGTCTCGGACCGTCCTTTACCAGTCTTCCGGGCATAAAGTACAGAGTGGTGTTATGTGTCCACCTATAATGCACAGGAAATGGACAGACGCTAAATGGACGTAGTCGAAACTTAAACGATCCGTAATCCTGACAGAATCCTTCTCGAAGCATCTGAGGTTTAACCTCCTTGAAGTATTTAAGAAATCAGTCCGTACCGCGAAGAAAACATCACACTTAACCATTACAAATATCTGCTGCTTGACGCTGTTTAAGAAAATGATCGCTGTTTATTCTGAGAATCATAAACGATCCACCAATAAAAATTCGCATTTTTCCGTAATAGGCGACGAATGTCTTGAGCTGAGCGTAATTTTGGCTTCTCACAAAGACTCTGTTCCGTGGGGTTAGTATGAATATCAGTGTAAACCGCGATTATTTTCTTAAACAGCGTTAACCAGTCGATCTTTGTAATGGTGAAGTGTGGTGTTTTCTTTGCGGTACGGACTGAATTCTTTAATATTATTTAGACGAGCTTCGGCTTCAAGGGTTAACCAATTGATCTTTGTAATGGTGAAGAGTTGTGTTTTCTTCGCGGTACGGACTGAATTGTTAAATAATATTTAGACGAGCTTCGGCTTCGAAGCGTTAAAGGTTTGACGTGACGGAAATATTCTTCTGTAGGTCCGGTACTGTCAACGGGAATCGTAATGACTCTCTGGCAACCGGAACATTCGGTGTAACAGCTTCCGCGCTTTCTCGTTCTGTCTTTCCTCGAGATAACAAGGTATTTCCGTCTTACAGCCCGAGGATCTGTGGACCCGCTGAAGTCTGCCAGCTGCCTGTCTATCCGTTCCCGTGTTTTTCTGTTGGCTCTCCAGAGGATTCGCCTCCAGGACTAGTTCGTGCATGTGTTGCGCGGGAAGTATTTATGGCGCCTTGTCTTAGCTGGTATCGTCGTTTATAAAAATGCGATGATGGTGAAGTGCGCCAAGGCACTTACAAGAATCCAAATCTCGAATTGTTTGTATGACGTCATCGTTTTGTGTGGAGTGATAAACAAGGTCACTTACTGACGGCCCACCTACCCAGCGGCTGAAGCAAGAGTGGGAAATTTCTGTACTCTTCAATAAGTCAGTGTTTCTGAGTCGTGTCTTACCACGCGAGCGAACATTTCACTTCCGACATGTTTCTGCCTCGAAAGAGAGCCATTTTTGAGAAACTAACAGTAGCTCAGCTAATCATAAACATTTTCGTTCTTTAATGGAACACGATGATTCTTCGGTGTGCCCTGGAGCCGAAACCAGTTCATGTTCTGAGCAAGATGAATCCTATTTTTCTAATATATTTTTTAATATTATTCTCCCGTGAACACATAGGTATTCCTAGCGGTGTTTTCTATTCAGGCTTGCCGACCAAAATTTTGTAAGTATTTTTCTTCTCCCCGATACGTGCTACATGTCTCGCCCATCTCATCCTAATATTACGAATTATGAATTTTCTCATTACTCGATAATCGAAGCTTGAAAGAAAATTCTTTCTTGGTTGTAAAGGAAGAATGTGTGGAAGGTGTAAACAGCGAGAGGGTACAGACGTTTCGGACATAGCATGTTCCTCCGAAACGTTGGTGTCTACCTACAAGTGTACACGGCTTTAATAGTTAATTTTATTGTTTCAAGAAAACTCAGGGAACATGAAAGTCGCTTTCTCCAAGCAGCAGTCTTGCTTGCTGTGTGTGGTTCCTTAATTATGCATCGAGTCTCTAAATTCTTCTTTACCTCATTACGATAATTTCGCGTGGCATTTCCCTGCCTTCCCGTAGCTAAATTACTTTTGTGTCTGAGCTTTTTAGAAGGCTTAATGCATCACCGATTACTACATTTTCTGAAGCACAGCTGTCGGACTTAAACAGGCCTACTTAAAATCGAATTTTCGTGGTTTACGTTCCACCACCATCATCTTACAGCTCGAACGCATCTGGAATTTATTCACATCCCCGAAATAAAATAATAAAACGAAGCTACCCGTTTAGTATACATCATTATACTCTTCGCGTGAGGTCCCGAGGCTCCTCGGCGGTCTACTTTAGGGCTTTTAAACCACTCCGTTTTCCTGACAGTCACGTGTTTTTTTTCTTCTACTTTAAAGGGTGGATGACTCTAGCCCATGGTCCTGATAACCAAGGCTCTTTTGTGGTAGGAGCGCCGATGAATTTCCTCACAGTTCGTAAGCGACTGTAATTGTTAGCCCCAGGCACGTTCAGTTCCCCGAATGACTTACCGATGTGGTCTCCTGGGTTGTAACGACGTGTGGACTTGTAGGTAGATACCGTCGTTTCGGGGGGGAACACACTGTCTTCATCGTCAACCGTGAATGTGATTGAAGATGTTGATTTTACTGTTGTTCAGATGGGTTTAGTTTCGGCGACGTGAATTTTGTACGTCTTTTAAGTACCGTCGAGAATTGTTGAAAGTCGTGATTAAACTCAGTGACGCAATATTTCGACTGAGAAGTGGTGACCGTCAACCACGCCCGGTTCCTCTCTCTCTCTCTGAATCATGCAGTCCCACTTATTCGGTTGTCAACTATGGTTCGTCCCACGTCGTTTGAGAGATGAGGTAAACTTATTGAAGAGGAATGTTGGGTAGGATGCTGCAGAAGGATACGCCTCTATAAATAAAAATTACACAGACTTTTCCAGCTTAACAACCAATTATATAAGTGCCTAATAAAGAATAAAACACATTATATGTAAGTAAGATCTGAGTTTCTGACGGAGGTGAGTCTGAAGTTTGACGGTCTTCTGGGTTGTAGCGCCGTGTACTCTGGTAGAATTTTACCAACGTTTCGAAGGTCCTTACTGCCTCCATCATCAAGGCGATGAGTCATTTGGTCACTGATCTTGAAACGATAATTTCCAATAGCCTTCGATTTTCGTTAAACAGTAAGATAATGTGACCCCCCCAAACAACACACCGGGGACCGCGGTCCGCGACTCGCGGATTGAGAACCCCTGTTCTAAGACTAAAGTAGTTAGATGATCTCTATCGTGCCTGATCGCTATCATGTGTGTCCATGTAAATTTCGCGTAATAAGGATAACCAAATGAAACTTAGGCTATCTCTGTGGACCGGTTTAGTAATTGCCCCCAGAAGGGGCATAGAACGTTCCTTCGCCTCGTTTTGTAGACTGTAATCCTTCAGTCTTATGTTCGAAACTTAAGCGTTATAACGGAGCTGGGCTCATGATCTTGAACTGGAAAGGAATATATCAAATTAATCCCGTTTTGTGTAAAGAGCTCTGTCGGTCGGTATCTTGACTACAGAGCAGAGCTGCCCGCCAGGTTTTTCTGCCACGTCTCTGGAAGTCACGTTTTCATTTGTTGAATTAATCTTTTTTCGTGGGTAAATCGGTCGGAACGTGAAGTTCACACCTCAGTGTAGTGCCGAAGTTTGAC